GGGGGGGGGGGGGGGGACACTATAGATGACAACAACAGGGCCTCTGGGAAAATAAGACGGGAAATGTTTTACAATTTTTAGATATTTTATAGAGAAAACGAGAAAAACCGAGAAAATAAATTGTTAGTTGCACCCTAATGTTTGATTATAGTCTCAATAATTGTTTTATGGCACGGAAATGTACTTAAACTCCAGATTTGAAGGTTTTGGGTAAATAGTAGCGATAGCATCCTATGAGTCTTTACTTTTACCTTGTAAAGAGCCATATTGAGGTGAATGAGATGGTTTCCTGTTTAGATTTTAATCATACAACCTTCTGTGAAAGTGTTTTGGTAACTCAAAATTGACTGAAAGTAAATCTGTCCAAAACAAAGTGTAACAATGTAATTTAAACCACACATGTTCAGACTGATTTCCTTCCAGTAAAGCCACAGTTGCCTGTTTATTTCAGTGCACTATTTAACAATTCATTTTGGAGGATTGCAAAGACTTTTAACTTAAACAGTAAATGATTTGTTGCCTTTTTTTTATGTTTATTGTCATGTCATTGCACGGTGACGCAGCTGCCAGCAAACTGTTTAAACACCTTTCGTCTGTTCACACCTGAGCGTTTTACGATCTGCTCCAACAAGTGTTTTCATACAGGGAACACAACTTAATGTTCCTAATTGTTTGTCTGCAAGACTTCATAGCTCATGAATGTAGTTCTTTTTGACGGGCAAATGTCAGTGTGTCCTTGAACGCACCACCATGACCATTTTGTCCGAACGGTCCCTGCTGACAACTGGCTCTACCGCTTTTTACCGTGCAACAACAACAACTGTGAAAAATAAAGGCAACCCATTTTTTAAACCAGTGGATTAATCTCAAGTCTCTACACATTGATTTTCCAAATCATACAGAAAAGCATTTGTACTAAATGTGGGGTCTAACATTTTATATGTTTGTCTAAAATCTCAACGTCTGTTTGCAAAGACAAGACCTGAAACTATCCTTGTTTAGCTTTTGCTACTGTATCTGTGGAAGCTTACTTTACTACTTAACAGAAGAATTAGCTGTAGCAGGACTTGTGATGACTACTACTGGACTTTCATTTCTCTGGCCTGCATTATCAAGAACCCACAAACAGTCAAGAGACCATTGTTTCAGGCGGCAGGGCACAAATATTTAAATGACTTGTTTGTGTACGCCAACAGACGCCATCTGCAGGGTATCAAGGTGCAAGATCAGAGCGGAGATTAGTATAATCACAGTCAAATCCCACACAGCAGTCGTACACTTCATCACAGAGATCCAAGCCTCTGTTTATGCCAGTGAGACCAGAGCATCACAACCAACCCACCCACCCCAAAGCAAGAGCCAAGATGCAGCACTGCCTCCTGGCCTTACCCTAAAGCATGGCATACTTTGTTGTCCACTCCTGAGCTAGTTTATTGTACCTGACAGGGTGAAACTAGGTTACATACTAGACTCAGGTGATTGCTTTACTATGCCATTAAAAGTTGGGACAATTGTGGATAATGTAGCATGAATAAAACATGTACTACAGGGCAGTTGAGTTATTTCACATGTTTAGCACACGTACGGATAATCTTACTTACTTCTGACTATCTGTTTTGTAGATTCGTGCGATCTCTGGCACTAGTGGGTCATCGGGGTTTGGGTCACATAGGAGTGAGCAAATGGAGAGAAGAACTGCAAGAAACAGATGGACATTAAACAACATAAAATCACATTAAATTAATAAAAAGTCTGCCATTTCGAAAACATCTACACAATTACTTTAACCGCATTTAATGCTATATCTTGTAAGTATCTAAGATGAAGGCGTCTATGAATATCTAACCAAAACCAGTTGGCATATTGTCAAATGAAAGTAAGAAAACTGGGACAAACAGGATGAGATTAATCAAGTTAAAATATTACTTCATGATGGTAACTACTTTTTATATTCCCCGAAAACATTGGCTGGCCAAAAAAATGAAATTAATAAAGAAAAAAGCTCTTTCGGTCATTTCTACTTGCTTACTACTCTTTTTGTTCATAGGGGGACCAAAAAAAGTCAACAGAAAGGGCAGCTTTTAAATGGTTGTTATTAGCTGAAGTATCCTTTCTTGATTTGTCCATCAAGACCTTTTCACAATGGTTTTGGTGGACGCATTTACAGACTCATCAACTAATAACATTCACTGCCAATAACTCAGGTTGCTCCTTCCACTGGAATTATCATTAACTTTAGGAAATAGTAAGTGCAGGGGACCACTGTGATTCTGAGACATATCCAGACAGATACGCCTGTTAACTTGTTTAATATTTGGGGTGGTTAATTCTTGTTGTAAACAACCTGAAAGAAAAAACAAAAAAACAACAAACAGAATAACAGGGGAGGATAAGTAAAATGGAGAGTGCGTTCACAAATTGTTCCATGGTTTGCAATTCAACTTCTTGACACGAGGCGGACACAATGTTTTCGGATGCTCCATGTGCTATCAACTTCTGGAATGACCGGTATTGCCTGCATGTAAGGGTTGTCAACAGAACGAAGAGTGCTTTCATTGATGCCAAACAGCCGCCCGCTTTGGTTTCATTCAAGCGGCGGTTCTTTGTTATTTTCCAGTATCTTCTAACAACAGAACTCTTATTTTACACCTGAGTATACGGAGTGTTGGTTACAAGATATCACAATGCTTGACTCGGTTCCAGACCAGCTGATATATTACCATCACTTTTATGTCGCAATGGGAGACCGATGGCGTAGACGGAGCGCCGAAGGAGTGACAACATACATCTTTAATTCCACCAATGTGGTATAATATTAAAGAAAGAGAGGAAAGAAGCCAGGGTTTCAGGTGTGATTCAGTTTACCTTGGGTTGTCTTGAAGGGGTAGTCTGTTGGAAATGAATTGTCAAGAAGAGAAACTCCCCCTTTGATTGGACTTCACCTGAAAGCCAAAAGAGACTTCAATATTTCAGAGAATCTCTAAACCGGCTTACCACCTTGTCCCATTATCAGTCAAATTTTTCAACCTTTATCACGAATACATTTAAGAGCCGGGAACACTCCTCAGTAACATTTCGACACGCGCTAGTACAACGAGAGCAACATAATTATGTCAGTAAAGATATTCTAGCTTACGCGGTCCCCATGATTGTGGCTTTGCAGGTGATCACTGCCAGAGAAACGAAAAGTAAAGTGTTTTAGGAACGGAGGAAAAAGGTCAGCAGGTTATGTGGGTTCTGACAGGAACTACGCTTCTAAATGGTCTTTGGCGCAGTTCAAGATGCCACATTTCCGTTGTATCAATATGGTAGGACATGGTGTCGTATTAGTTGTTACTCTTACTGTTCCATCATGCTTTTAGGGTGGAGGTATTCATGACCTATACAGTGAACAAGCGGTGCTCAGCTCAAGGCCACACCCTTCTTGTGCTTTTAGATAATTAATACTTACTACTATAGTTCGCTCTTGAATTCAAATCTTCAACATGTAGGCTGTCTTGATTATATTGTATTCTAATTGTATGCGTGTTGGTTTTAGTTCTTTGCAGGAAATGAATTTGAAAGGCCATTTAAAAAGGAACAATACCAATATATATTTGCAGGTTGATGTATTTTTGGATCACATGCTTAACTAAATAGTCTGTTCAGACATCAAGAATTGGAAGAGTCACCTTGATCTGTGGGGAGTAACAGACAGCATTAACATTAATAACGTCCTGGCCATTTGAGAACAAACATAACTAATAATAATAAAGATGAAGATAATTCCAGTTTAATGATGGACAGAATACTTGCGACTCGGTTCTGAGGGACACTTTACTGGTCGTCGGCCACTGGGCCGGCGGCACTGTGCTGGTGGGTCACGAGCCAGGTGCGCTAAGCTCGTAACGAAAAAGAGTTTACAAACAAGTAACACGCGCCATTAGACCACAGTGATCTTCAAGAGGGGAACAACAGTGAAAGAGGAGAACACACGAGTCTAAGATCAATGTGCCAGACTGAGCAGCATCCTGGGTAGAAATGCCAACATCGGGGGGGGGGGGACGCCACATGAGAAGGTTGTGTGCCTCGTTTTATTTCACAACACCCTCGAGCCGGTGTTGTTATCTCCCGTCACTCCCCTCCGAGTTCAACTCTGCACCAGCTCAGGGGGAAGGGGGCCACCTCGTTATCGTCTACACCAGTGGCTCCCAGCTTGGTGGTCAACACGCCTTAGGGGTCACCAAAGGGGGGTCGCGAGGCCTTCTGGGTTTTAAGGGGCGTACGAGCGCTTAGAAAATACGCAAAGTGAGTCTACGTCGCAGTCACGTTCTCGTCCGACATTAAAAAGGCGTAAAGAACTAATATAACAATAAGATGAATTAGTAGCAGGTGTGTTTGTACTAAAAGTCCCCTAAAGTTTATCAAGAAACCTCATCTGTGTACAGGAAATAGTCTGCCCCCAAATGCAACCAAATCACACGTTTTCACACAAACTTCCGTTACTGCGTTCGCCGTTCGGGTTCATTGTAAAGCTTCAGCTGTTCTGCGTTGTCACTGCTGTTGAATCTAATTTTAAATATCTACAAAAACACATTACTCCGTCTCGAGTCGTCAGTTTACTAAACGAGTGGGGGGGGAACAAAAAAAAAAGGGGGTCGTTTCAGGAAAAGGTTGGAAACCACCGGGATACACAGCCGACCGCAAGATGAGCCCGAAGCATATATACACTGCCCCTGCTGTTATTTTTAGATCTACAGCTACTTCAGTGAGGTGGAGGCCACAGCCCCACCCCGGGCCTACAACACACACACGCCATCTGACAACCAAGTTTATGGATCCCCCCCTTTGGAGGGACATTCTCGTCGAAACGAAGCCACGGCGTGAAGCTCTTCTTTAGGTGTAACTCTCTGCTCGCTGCCAACTTCCTCCATTTAAGGGCCAGAACACACCCTGTTGATGTGCACAGACACAGAACAAATACGTAGGCATACCAAGGAAGTGTATCATGAAACGCAGCTTTGATCCGGTGAGTGATATGAGTCATGGGGTTCTGGTAATATATCGGGGTAAAAAAAAATAAAATAATAAAGTTTAACAGGGCAAAAGAGGGAAGAAGATCACAATGTTATCAGTCAGATAGATGGCTGAGGCAGATCACAACCACAAACAGGCTTCAAAGAACATGAAAAGAAAGCAGAATATATAGTCGAAAGGTGAGATTAAGACACAGTTTCTCCTACAATGTGAAAAACAACATAAATTACATTTATGTCACCAAATAAGACTCTATAATCCCAGATTTAAACGACATAAAGACCCCTTAAAATACTAATCCTAAGAGAAGGAATATGTTGCTGCCTAGAAGTGTAATTATTGTTATTATGATCATTAAAGTTGCCACTTATTTGTTTTTTAAAGCTACTTTTCTTTCCCCACCCCCCCAACTTTACTTTAATATACAAAACAAACATATTTCACACTTTCTTTAGCTTTGAATCACATCGCAGCGATTATATAAGCTATTTAAACGACTGGGCACTTCACGAACACAGCACATCGATAATAATAAAAGCTAATAATAAAAGCCTAAAAGCACACAGCATTAAAACATGTGTGCGTTCACGTAAAGCCATGAAGTGTTGGCTATTTCACGAGGCCTCAACCTTTTAATAAAACTCAACCTGTAAGCGAAACTACTAATGTTAGCACGCCGGCTAAATGGCGTTTGCGGCTCAAGACGTCGAGCCGTGTTCGTGTAAATTAAAAAGGGCCGTGGATCCACTCGACCCTAACACACAAACACGAAGCAAACACACAAAAAAAAACATGTTTCACCGCCATGTTTTCACAGGATACAGCCAACAAGAAGGAGAAACAAGCGCTCGGCTACATGGTGGGAGGCTAGCGCGGCGAGCTAACGCGACCGACGTTGTCTCACCTTGTTGATCCGTTTCAGAGCCATCCTCTCTCGGTGTTCCGCTGTTGTACAAGAAGGGGTTCCGATCCAAGCAGTGTGGGGCGAGCGTGATGTGCCAGGATGAGTCGCTTTCTCCGTTAAATAAGTTTTTGCTGAGGCTGGGTCAAACTCGACGGCCTCCTCTCTTTTCTCTTCTCTTCTCTCCTCGCAGCTAGCGCAGTTAGCTTTGCTGAGCGAGCTAAAACTACGTATGCGCGGAGTTGGTTGTAACAAAGATAGCCTTTCGATTAAAACCCCCCTCTCTTTCCCCACCGATTAAACACCGTCTGTTGGATTATTTGTACCCCCTGAATTGACGCTGAGTAAGTGCGTTGTGCCAGGTGAAAGAGGAGGAGAAAAAAAAAAAAAAAAGAAAGTGTCCTCTTCTTTTGGTTTCGGTCGACGCCGTTAGCTCAACTAGCGGCTGTCTACATGTATTTGAAGCTTTATGACGAGGAGGCGGTCCGGGGCGGTTGCCCGTGCTGAGTGAACGGAACGGTGTGCCGAGTGCCGGGGGCCGGTTGCCAGGACGGGGGGGCGGTTGCGAGCGAAGGGCCGGTTTGCTGGAGTCGGGGCGGCGGCCTGAGTACGGGCGTGGTCGTCGGCACAGATTGGTGCTACCGAACGCCTGGAAAAAAAAACAACCAACTGCAGACAGCACGCTTTATATTTATACTTAACTACGTAGTACAAGGCTGGAAACTGGCAATACATATACCTCAGGTGGTCTATATACTTATGCATCATATTTTATATATACTACATATCTATTATTTAAGTTATCATCTACAGAGAATCATCTATAGCTACTG